ACGACATGGTGCGGCAGGAGATCCACGATGTCGAGACCGGCGTGGATACGTGGCGGTGAGGCGGGCCGAGTGCGCCTGCAAAGGGCGGCGGGTGGAGCGGGGGTGTGCGCGGCGGATGCATTGGCGCTTGCATGCTTGTGCTCTGCGGAGGGTGAGAGGGGGAAAGAGCCACACTTAACTGCAATGCGCTTTTTTTTTCTGCTCTCACGAAGCGGAAGAGCTTCTGTATCGGTTTATGGGTCCGTTATGCATGGCGGTGGATGGGGTGAGTGGGGTGGCGCAGTTTATGTGCGACCCGCTTCCGTGTGCGTGTTTTTTTTGTTGTTGGTGGTGAGTATCAAGGGGCATCGAGGGAGTAGCGTACTGTACAAGTGAGGACGCTTTGGTATGATTTTTTTTTCTACCCTTTCTCCCTCCGTTTCCTTTTTTCTTGTTTTTTTTTCTTCGTCGTCTCTGCGCGTGCGAGGGTACATGCTGATAGTCACGCCTCCCGTCTTTCTTCACTCATTGGGTAAGTGAATAACCGCATCGCTATTGCTGTTCGACATCAGTTCCCTCAGAGGTGTGTCGTGTGTGTGGGTGGCGCTGGTGGTGTCACGCAGCTGTTTCGTTTTGGCAAGGACTGCCGAGCGCGTGCATTGCGGCATACCCCCCCCCCACTCTGCTGTTGGCGGTAGTGAGTGACTGTTTTTTAAAGCATTCTTTCGGTGGCTTCTGGTTTGTGCGTTGTAAGTCGTGGAATTGCTCTCCTTGCTGTGGCGTGTGCGCTCGGCTGCGGTACACTTTTTTTTTTGCCACCTGAGCTGTTTGCGGTGGTTCCACAGTCGTATCACGCGGGCACGAAGAGTGTCTACACGCACACACAGCATTCACATTCTGTTCTTTAGTTGTTGTTGTGTTTTTTTTTTGGGGGGGGGTTTGGCTTTGGCGACTATGACGGACGTGGCCAGGTGGGAGAAGCAGCTGGAGCGCGCTTTGGCGGACGGCAGTGACTCAGCGAAGATTCTCGCGGCGATTGAAAAGATTCTTTCCGCGAACCCCAAACACGTCTATGCCCTCCGCTGCAAAGTTGTCTGCCTCCTGCATCAAGACAGGCACGCCGCCGCGCTGGCGGTGCTTGAGCAGATTGCCGCCGTGGACCCCGCATTGCCGCGGGCCTCGCAGGACTACGCCTTCCAGAAGGCCTACTGCCTGTACAGGGCGCTAGAGCACCTCCAGGCACGGCGTCTCCTGCGCGAAGCCCCGCAGACGGCGAATCACGCACCCTCGCAGCATCTTCTTGCGCAGGTGCATTACCACCTCGAAGAGTACGAGGCCGCCGCCGGCATCTACGAGGCGTTGCTGGCAAAGGGAGAATTCCGGGACGAGCATGAAAAGACGGAGCTGCAGACCAACTACGCCGCCGCGTGCTCCGCCATTGACGCGCAAAAGACCCAGGCGATTGTGCGCGCGGCGGACGAAAAGACTGCGGACTTGTTGTACAACGCCGCGACGGCGCAGCTGGTGGTGCAGGAGTACGCCGCCGCGCTGCAGACGTTACAACAGGCGGAGTCGCTCTGCGCACGAGCTTTTCCCAAGAGTCGCCTGCGGTCGTTTCAGGATGCCTGTTCAAGAAGCGACACGGAGCTTCGCTCGTTGTTGGACGTTCAAGGCTCGCCGGAGCGTGCCTTTTTCAACGACGTCGCCAGCATCTGGGTCCAGACGGCGTACGTGTACTACGCCATGCATGCCGAAGAGAAGGCGGCGGCCCTGCTTAATCTGGTGCTGCGGTACCGCCCCTCGTCCGCCGTGACGCTTGCGGTGGCGTCCATCAACTGGACAGCCATTCAACGCCATCGCGACTTCTTTGACACGCATCGTAAGCTGAAGGCGGCACAGAATCCGGCAGTAAATAGTAGATTGACCTCCCGGCAGAGACTGTTGGTGCGGTATAACACGGCGATGCTTCTCCTGCATACCGGAAACTTCAATGCGTTAAGGCGTCAGGTGGAACTCCTCGCCAACGAGTACCCGGAGTCGGACCTCACACATTCCCTCAAGTTGGTGCTGGCAGTACGCGACAGCAAGAAGAAGCGGCAGTCAGACTACAAGAACTTGACGGAGTACCTGAAGAACTACCAGCAAAGCGTCGGGGCGCAGCAGCGTCAGGAGCAGCAACAGCAACCACAACAGGGAAATCCCTCTGTGGGGAAATTGCTCCCACTTATCGCCGCACAGATTTTTCTCGAAAATGGGGATCTCGAGCACGCTATTGAGTCTCTTTCGTCTGCACCTGAGGATATCCGGAAAAAGCCGTGCACGCTGATGACTCTGACAACATGGAAGGTTCAGTTAGGTGATGTGAAGGGGGCAAAGCAGTTGCTCACCGAGTTTGCCGCGGCCGCAACGAAGGGGGTCGCCGTCGTGAAGCCGATCCTCTTCTGGGCGGTGCAGTTCCTGACAGCAAAGGGAATGTACGCGGACGCCGTGGATGTCATCCGCGCCACGCAAGCTGCTCTGCCGGTGCTGCAAGACGACAAGGAGGTGAGGGCGCTTTTGGCGTTGTGTCTTTCGCACTTTGACATGCCGGCGGCCCGGGCATGCATGGCGGCTATCCCTGAGGCTGGTTTTATAGGCACACACACGGACAAGAAATTGTCCTCCTCAGACATCGCCGAGGCGGAGTCGCAGCAGCCATCGCGGCAGAGCATTGAGGCACTTGGGTACCATCGCGCGACGGCTGATGACGAGGACGACAACGGCGACGGCGTCAGGGCGAGGCGGGCGCGCCGCCGCCCAATGCGGCGTCCACCGAAGAACTTGGACGCCCGTATTGACCCCGAGCGTTGGATTCCCATGTCGCATCGCTCGTACATAAAAGACTTGCCGGAGCGCAGAAAACGGGAGCTAAAACGCCTACGCGCGAGTGAGCAGGAGCGGAAGCGGCATGAGGCGGAAAAACGGAAGGCAGCAGCGCAGTAAGTGGGCAGAAGGGGATATGCGTCATTGGACGTATGGCTCCGCTTGAATAAACGGCAGCAAGACAGTAACGACAGGAATGGCACCGAATCGACAAAAGAAAAGTAAAAGAAAGGGGTTTACGCTTTCGTGCCTTTTTGTTTTTGTTTTTTTGTTTTGCTTCTGTTTTTTTTTCTTTTCGTCGTTGCAGCCACACACCACCGCTCAGGAGAAACGAAATTGAGTCACGAACACTTTTTTTTACTGTTTGTGTGGGTGGATGGGTGGGGGATCCTGTGCACGCATCTAATATATATATATATAATGTCATGACATGGCATGGCATATTGGGCGTGTGTGTGTGTGTGGGTGGGTGGGTGTTTCTTGCGACCAGGCTGTCGCTTGCCTCCCGGCCGTGGAAGCTCCACTGTGTGTTTCGCTGCTTTCTTCTTCCCTCCCGCCACGCCTCCGCTGAGTCCACTCCGCGACTGTAACGGGTCCATTCGTGTGGGACCAACGTTAGTACGCGGGATTTCTTCAGAGGTGCAGGGTAATATATTTACATAAAAATATAAACATTACACACTTGGTCGAATAAAGCACACACACGCACACGCACACGCGCAAAGATTTGGCGCTAAAGCGGGGGAAGTAAGAATCGCCATAATGGGAAAGCCAAAATATCTCAAGAAGAAGCAGGAGACAGCTGCGGCGGCTGAGCAGCAGCAGCAGCAGCAGCAGAAGTCGTCGGAGTCGCGGGGCAATGCAGAGGAAAAGGAGCCAGAGAGTTCAGGGGCGATGGTGTCTTTTGCGAATCCCGTGTTTCGTGACGGCGTGAGCGACATCCTCGTTGAAAAGATTGATGTTAGTTATCAAGGTGTGTCCATCCTGGAGAACGCGACGCTGAACCTGGTGGTGGGGCATCGCTACGGTCTGGTGGGCTCCAATGGATGTGGGAAGTCCACATTACTGAAGGTGCTCGGGTTTAACGAGATCCCCTTTCCAAAGCACGTGGATCGCTACTTTGTCTCACACGAGGTGGAGGCGTCGGACGTCACTGCGCTTGAGGCCGTGGTGTCTGTGGATAAGGAAAAGGAGCACTTGGAGCGGGAGCTGGAGGAGTTGGCGCTTGCGGACCAGGAGGACGTGGCGGTGAACATGCGCATGGATGACATTTACAAGCGACTGGATGAACTTGAAGCTGACACAGCGGAGGCGCGTGCGGGGAAAATTTTGTTTGGCTTGGGTTTCACACCGGCGATGCAGCAGCGTCCAACGAAGTCGTTCTCTGGTGGCTGGCGCATGCGTATCTCCTTGGCGCAAGCCCTCTTTATTAACCCGACGGTTCTTCTGCTGGACGAGCCCACCAATCACCTTGACATTGAGGCCGTGGTGTGGCTCGAGAATTATCTATCCAAGTTTAAGAAAATCTTGTTTATGGTGTCGCACTCGCAGGATTTCATGAATAACGTTTGCACCAAAGTGGCTCACATGGCCCGCGGCAGACTAACATACTATGATGGCAATTACGACCAGTTCTGCATCACCCGCGCGGAGAAGGAGAGCAACCAGATGCGTCAGTTTCAGTGGGAGCAGAATCAAATTAAAAGCATGAAGGAATATATCGCCCGCTTTGGTCATGGCAGTGCGAAACTTGCTCGACAGGCGCAGTCGAAGGAGAAGACGCTTGCCCGTATGGTGCGTGGGGGTCTCACGGAGTCAGTAGCCAAAGATCGGCAGGTGAACTTTGGGTTTCCCTGCGCTGGCCCACTACCGCCGCCGATGCTGCAATTCCGTGAGGTTTCCTTTGCCTACCCTGGTCACAGCCCACTCTTTGAGAACCTTGAACTTGGAATTGATATGGAGTCCCGCATCTGCCTTGTTGGTCCAAACGGTGCTGGCAAGACGACACTGACAAAGCTGATGTGTCGGGAACTGGAGCCAACGACGGGTTATGTGGCCAAGAACGCACACTGCGTTATTGCTCGCTTTCACCAGCATTTTGTAGACCAAATTGACATGTCACTGACCCCGCTGGAGTGGATGGGCCAAGAGTACCCCGCGGTCTCCGACCCAACTATTTTGCGCAGCGCCCTAGGACGTTTCGGGGTGTCTGGCAAGCTGCAAATGACACCCATGTCCACGTTGTCGGATGGGCAGAAGTCACGCGTGGTGTTTGCGTGGATGGCCTTTAAAACTCCCCACCTGATGATCCTCGACGAGCCGACCAACCACCTGGATATTGAGTCCATAGATGCCTTGGCAGACGCGGTCAACTGCTTCGAGGGGGCCGTCGTGGTGGTGTCGCACGATCTTCGTCTCATTGCGCAGATTGCGGATGAGATTTGGATTGTGGACAAGGGCAACTGCCGCAAGTTTGACGGCGACATTGCCGACTATAAGGAGCACGTCCAGCGCGAGGTGAACCGCATGACGGAGGACTACGCCACACGCAAGTAAGTGAAGGAAGAAGGGGACTAAAAAGAGAGAGAGACAACAAGAGAAATTGGAGTGGCCAAGGACGAAGCAAATGAGAGGAGACGAGAACACGCACAGGCAACGCGTGTCTCTTGCTCTTTTCCCATCCTAATGCCTCTGAGATGAAAATAATAAAGAAAAAAAAGGGAAATAAAAAAAAAGTACGGGAAAATAAACAAAAGAAAAGAAGTTTGAGCCCCTGAATGCAAGTGGATGGGCAGCCTACGAAGTCCACAAACCCTGGTCCAATGGAATTTCTTCTGTAATCAGGAATCGACTGTGTGTGTGGGGTGGGGGGGGGGAAGGAAGGAAGGAAGGAAGAA